ATCTGAAACTGGAATCTTTGTATGCGAATCTAAAACCATCGAACCTTGGGTTCAGCAACATCTGCATCTCATTCTGTCAAATTTGTAGTTTCTCAACCCAGCCTTGAAGTTTTGTCCCTTCGTGTCCAAGCTATTGTGTCTTGAAATATGGCCAAACTTTTTAAAAGGATTTGTGTTCTAGAGGGGGTTAACGGCAGCTGAACCTTGAAGGCTTCAACAATGAACAGGTTCTTTGTTTTCGTTTTTATTGTTGATGACATAATATAATCGCCGTCTAAGAATGATTTTTGTGGGTGCATCATATATTTTGAATCTATGGGGATTTCGGACTTAATTTCTAATACTACCTCCGGTCCTTAATATAAGATCTCGTTTGACTTTTATTTTGGTCCTAAATATAAGACCCCAATCTATTCTGTCTCTCATATTTATACATTTTTTTTTCTAAAGTAGCCCTTCTAACAATAATAGTTCTAGTCAATACACTCGATTAATAAGGATATTTTAGGAAAGACAACACATATTTAGGACAAATAACTAACTCAACTTACTTTCTTAATCTCCTCAAATTAGTCAACTGGCTTTTATAATTAGAACCGGGGGAAGTATTTTGTAATCTGCTGAAGCTCCTTGACAACACTGAAGCTCAATGGAATAAAGAGAAGACGATGCTCTAGTGTGTGTGGCTTCTTCGATGCAGGATTTTATTTTTTCCCAGACACTAATTACTTCCACCTGGATTTTTAGTCAAAGTCCACTTGTAAAATATTGCCAGCTATTTGCCACCTCAAATTGATCTAACAGAAATTTAAACACCGTCACTACTTATTTAACAGCTTTTGAGATGAGGGACGGAAGGAACTACCAAAGTAAACTCAAAGGACCCCATAAAAAAGAAAAAAAATTCAGGGACCTGTTTCAAAACTCATGCAAACTATAGAGACTGGGAAATTACTTTTCCCTATATATTTTAACTAAAACTTTGGACTTTAAAAACTTGCCGCGTAAAGATTTTTATAAATTAAATAGTGTGAGATCAACCTTGACCAATCAACGTTCACACTTCTATGGGATAAGAATTATGACCTTCCGTAGGGGGACAGCCTTTTTTTTTTTTTTAACAATCTTTTTCACAGATGATTCAAATTAGACTAATTATAATTCTGTTGAATGTTGAAAATTCATTTATTGACTTTTTCTCGCGTTTTTTTTATAAATAAAACATCAAATTTATTCAAACGGGAATAAAAAAAATTACATAAAAACAACCCAATTACATTTGATTAATTTGAGCAAAGTCTAAATGAATCAACAAAAAAAAAAAATCGGCCTAACACAAGTGAAATAAAAAAGCAAAACAAACCAATAACAAAGACAAACGAAAAACTAATATCAGGAGAACCAAAAAAGACAAACATCATATAAATTAAAGCAAGTCTGATATAAAATTATAATTTTAAAAGTGCTTTTATAATATACAAAATAAATATGTGAAGGAGTTTATCTTGATTTATAAAAAAATATTTTTTAAAAATACTTTTAAAGTTTGGCAAACACCTCGAGTTTGATTGCATTCCCTAGTTCTTACTAATAAATTTGAGACAGCCCAAAACTTAAGCCTCTTGCTGCTGCACCAACCATTTCTCTTCCATGACCCTTAAGAGTGCCCACAAATTAACTTGAAGCTGCATTGTACAAAGGAACTACTACCTCTGGTCCTTAATATAAAATGCTGTTTGATTTTTATTTTGGTCCTAAATATAAGATCCCAATTCACTTTGTCTTTCATATTTACTCAATTTTTTTTCAAAATAGTCCTTCTGATAATTATAGTTCTAGTCAATATATTTAATTAGCAAGGATATTTTAGGAAAGACAACACCTATTTAGAATAAATAACTAACTCAACTTACTTTCTTAATCTCCTCAAATTAGTCAACTGGCTTTTATAATTAGGACTGGAGGTAGTAATATGCATGTTTTTGTTCATGTTTAGTCATAAACAAAACATAGATTGTGCATATAATTTCTGATTACTTATGCCACGAGTACTTTTAATATTTGAACTCAAAATATATTGTATTACCTTCAGTCCTATATATAAGCTTTACTTTTAAAAATATCATTAATTCATTATATTTCTTAGGACATTCCACCTTAGTTGCATGTACTCGCTAGGCAGTTCCGCGAGTAACTTCTTCGATGTTATATTTGAAAAGTCAGAAGCAAGCAACAGTCAATGACATGTAAATTGGAAAAAAAAAAATTCAAAATTTTACTTTATATTTTTTATATTTTATTTTTCAGGCATGAACTTCCTTTTTTCTTAATAACATTTTTTTTTCAAGTATGAACTTGCGCAGCCACGCGTGAACGAACAGAAAAAAGCCTGGCTTGAAAAAGATTTGACTATATATATATACACACACACACATAGAGAGAGAGACTCAAGTTTCAAGTCTTGAGGTGAACAACAGCAAAGTCAAACATCTAACGTTGATTTGCAGTTCTTGAAATTTTTTTAAAATATTAATGATTGTATTATTACACGCGTTTTGTGAATTAATTCCATACGTGTGTTCAAAATTCAGCTACCACATGATCATTGACCTTCAAGCTTGGGGCATTGGTTGGTAGAATGTTAATATTCTCAAAATTTGAATTTCAATCTATTTATATATATATATATATATTATTTTCTCCCTTCATAAATGTAAAAACCAGTAGATGGAAAATGCTTTGATCATAATGTATTATCTAAATTTACCTTCTCTCCAAAATTTATAATTTTTTCCTAAATTTTTCGTATTTATTGTACATATTAAGATGATTATTTATTAGAGTAAATGATTAAAAAAGATATTTTAGAAAATCTACCCATATTATTGTCTTTTGAACAACTAACTTAAATATAATTTTCTTAATCACTGCATAATAAGTAACTGACTCCTGTGTTTATGACGGGAGGGAATATATTTTTAATCAGATCTTAGACAAGGCATATGGTTTTTTGGTAATTTCCCGTGTTAAATTTTTTAATGTTTTTTAACTTCTGTTTTCTTGATTCCCCCCCCCCTTGTGGCATTGAAATAGTAATAACAACTCTGATTTTTGATACTATTAAATTTAGTTGACTGATTTAAAAAAATTTAATTAAATTATTAAAATATATCTTATATATGATCTGTCTAAAATAATTATTTATATTATTAATTTATATATTAATTTATAAGTAGGACAAATTAGTTTTAAAAAAAATAAATAAAAGTACTTTAAGATAATTTAGTCACTTTCTTAATTTTTTTCCAAATTAGTTAACTAAATCTTATATTAAACCAAAGATAATACTACCTCCAATTCTTAATATAAAAACTAATTGACTAATTTGAATAGATTAAAGAAGTTTAATGAGCTAATTATTTATAATAATTAGGTGTTATCTTTTCCAAAATACCTTTACTAATAATGTATTAACTAAAACTACAATTTAATTGAATATTTAATATGTACAGCAACTACAATGACTCGTTTAAAAAATAAATAAATATAAGAAACAAAATAGATTGGAGTTTTATATTTAAGACCAAATTAAAAATTAGACTAGCTCTTATATTAATAATCAGAGGTAATATTTAATTTATCTATGCTAATGTTAAGAAACGGATTCTCTTTTTCTGTCACTAAATTTTTTTTTTTAAGGGGTTGGCTCCAAAGTGGATCGGTTGAGTCAACACCAACTCGTACAACCGTTTCTAATCTTTTTTTTTTTGTGTGGCGTTTTTTAGATGTTATCCAAGTTTGATCTTAGCAATGCATTACTTTTTAGTGATTTTTACACATATTAAACTTACTTCTTACGCTAGCTTTGAAACAGATGCAACAAAATCTTTTTTGGTCGTGATGACAACAAAAACAAAGTTGTTAAGAAATTAGTTTTTTTTTTTTTTTTGGAAAAATCAGTATGGAGTTTTAAGGAAAACATATAATTACTTAAAAAATAGTTTTATAACAAATGAGCAGTATAAACCTATCATTATTTTTTGTAACAATTTTTCATTAAATATTATTCATTTGTTGTAAGATATTTTAGTAATTACATTCTTTATTTAATACCTCAGCTATTTTTCCATTTCGTTTGTCCCCAAAATAAAAGTTGGTTTTAACTACAAAGTGCCTGGGTAACACTAATTTTTCATCTTCACTTGCATAATTTAAAAGCTTTCTTAGAAGATATTTTGAAGACTGATGGCAGAAACACAGAAGATTTTTCTTTTTTTAGATAAAAAATCAATTTTATTCAATATAAATAAAATGATTAAATAAAAAATCGCCTAATTATATTTGATCAATTTGAGTCAAGCCCGAATAAATCAAAAGAAAAAATCGGCCCAGAACATCAGCAACAAGAAAACAACGGGCAAAGCAAACAATCAATGAAACATAAAGCTAACAAGAGAAAAAAACAAAAAGCACGAAGAACAATACATCTTATAACATCAACCTCATGATGCAAAGTTAACAGGAAGAACTCAAACCAAACAGCTCATAAAAATATTTTGAAGCCTCCATTTAATTAATTAAAATATTGAAATATCTTCAAGTAAACATTATTTCTTAATTACTTTTTTTAATATGTCCTATCAAACATGTTATGCTCCGCTACCCGTTGCATGGAAGCCAGTTGTAAAAATGAACAGGACATCGTTTTGTTGGGGCAAGTTGCCTTCATGCTTAGCTGCTAATAAAGACAAAGAAGAAAAGAACAAATTCAACTTGCATGTGGGAGTAGATTATAGTGTAGCCTTTTGTGGCAACAAGTTGGAAGCCACATGACATATTTTATTCCATCGTTACTCTTACTCCTCTCCTTTTTCGTCGTTTTCACAATTTCATATTCATATTCCCCCAAAACGACAACTCCTTCCACTGTGCCTGATTCCCTGGTCCTCTTGAATTGACACCTCCCTCCCTTAGCTGCCAGCTATATCCTTCATCCCAAATTCAAGTTCAAAATATTTGTGAAGATAAAAATGTGCATTTCAAAAGGTCCAGAACAGAAACCGAGTTACAATTCCTGATATACAATTCAATACAGCAATACAGACAGCAAAACATGACTAAAGAGTCTGCAGAGAATCTATCCTCACTTTTTGTCTACAAAACTCGCTAGACAAGTGTTCAAGAAAATGCAAGGTTACCCTCAGGAGAGAGTGCCACAAGACATGGAAAAAGCCAGCAAGATCCAAATGAGAAATCCTTCAATGTAATTCTTAAGTTCTTGAAACAAGGATTTTCGATAGAATTATAACACGTAAAAGATACTTGGCTGGAGAAAAGGTCCGCATTTATATTTTTATCGAAGAACCTCATAATGACAGCTTGAAGGATTTTTTAACCTTAGCTTGGTTGGAAGCAAAGAGGATGAAGACACAGAAAGAACACTGCAGTTATAATTTACAAACCATCCTGATTGGTCACCTCCCATCTGCTGATGTGAAAGATTCGGCAAAACCATACGGGCGTGTTGGTATGCTTGTCTGAGTGTTGTCCAAGCTTGGAAGAAGTGAAGAAGAAGAGGAGTCCACTGAACCTCCTCCTCTACCTTCATAAGCCTGCCATTTCTTAAGAGCTTGAGGCAAAGACATGTCAAGGTCAATCCCATATATATCTTCAGAACTCTGATCAGATGGCTTCCAGAGTTCTGCCAAAGAGGAAAGAACATTCACAGCATGACCCATGTCTGGCCTTTGATATGGCTCTCGTGCACAGCAGTGGCCCGCTAGCTCTGCCACTGTGCGAATGCTGGCAAGAGTTTCCTCGTTGCGATCAATTGCGGGATCAATAGCCTTGCAAAACGATTCATCATTTATGTACATTCTGCGGAACCATGTTACAAGATGCATGCTATCCTCGGGTTGGGTTTCATCAAGTGCTTTCCTTCCAGTTATGATTTCCATCAGTATCACTCCAAAGCTGTATACATCTACTTTAGTTGTCACACGGCCAGTAACTGCAATCCATAAACAAAGACTAACATTTAGTGAAGATGAACTGAAGTACGAAGTTTGATATAAACCAAAAAAAAAAAAAAAAACTGATATCAGTCACTACAAATGGGGAAAATTTGGTGGTGTCATGGACTTGCTCTACTCAAAACACGAGTCCATCATTGTTTAAGTCCAGTTGGTAATGTAGACGCTCTAGTGATATGTTAACTAATGGTTCATCCCAAAATCCTAAATTATCATGCGAATGCCAATGAATAGGTCTATTGCCACGTTGATGGCTGGACGTAGTAATGTTATTGAAGAACTTAAATAGCAAGCATCTAAATAGCTTTATGTTTTACCTCCCATACAAGCAAATCAGAACTCACGTGAGTGCATATGGTTGTTTTGAAAGCCTACTCAACACAACCATGAATGCTTTAAAAGTGAGATTTATTCGTATGAGTCAGTGGCTGTTTTCATGAATTGGACATGCAAATGCAATGATGACTTTCTAGAAATAACATGAGTTTGTGATGGAATATTTTAAATATCTTTTACAGATGAAAGCCATGAATGAAGCAAGAAATGGCCAACTGAAAGTAGCTTATACATCAACTTCTCAATCAGTTAATTGGCCTAATCTCGAACTGGCACGGATTAGTTACACAAGTAAATATCTATACATACAAAAGCGTTGTTGTCTTTCTAAGACGACATGAATGTTAAAATAATTTTTGAAAATTCTGAATGCACCCATTTCCCACGAGGTTCTATGATAAACAGTAAGAAAATCTAAAAGATACCTGCATATTCTGGTGCCAAGTATCCAAACGTCCCAGCAATTCGTGTTTCTATTGAGGCTTTTCCTTCTGGAGCAAGACGGACAAGACCAAAATCTGCAACCTTCGCTCTCATATCATCTCCAAGAAGGATGTTTGAGGGCTTTAAGTCTCTATGTATAAAACTTTGATGGGCTAAGCCATGAAGATACTCAACACCTCTAGCCACATCTAAGGCAATGGTCAACCTCCTATTCCAGTCCAAGGGTTGTAATCCTTCTTCTGGCCAGTTAAACAGATGCCTACTTAGTGTACCCTGAGGCATGTATTCATACACCAAAAGCTTTTCATTCCCATCCAAGCAGTAGCCAAGAAGTGCAACAAGATGCCGGTGGCGAACTTTTGTCAAAACAGCAATTTCAGATTTAAATTCTGATGCACCCTTTCCCGTTATCGCTCCAGACTCCATTCTTTTCACAGCAATTTTGGTACCATCATGAAGTTCACCTTTGTATACTGTTCCGAAGCCACCTTGTCCCAATATATTCTTGTCACTAAAATTGTCAGTCACATTCCGAAGGACTTGTATGGAAATGACCATGTTCCCAGCTTCAACCATTTGGATATCTCCTCCTGTCTCACTGCCACGTACAGTTTGGGTTTCACTAGCTGTGCCAACACTGACACTTGAGCCAGCAACTGTTATTTTCAAACTTTCATTGTCCGATCCAGAATGACGAGGGTGAATTACCAGAGCATTTGGGCTCTGTACCCTGCTTAATTGCTTTTGCTTCATCCTATACAAGCAGAAAACTATGACACCAATCATTGAAACCAAAAATACACCTCCAACTACAGCAATTACAATCACCGCAACATGAGAAGGTTTTTTGCCACTATTTGCAGAAATCCCACCATTTCCTCCTGTTGTACCTTGACCTGCAGGGTTCGGAGAAGCTGAACCTGAAGGGGTTGAACTGCTTCTATCCTTCCTATGTCCTTGTTACCCTTCGTCTCAACAATTACATTACTCCTAAAAGATGGGACTTTTCCATAAAGCTGATTATTAGCAAGATTCAGTTCAGTAAGCATAGGCAGTGTGGTGAGCTCTCCCGGAATCGTGCCAGTGAGACCGTTATCAGCAAGCATAATTCTTTGCAGTGATTTGAGTGAGGCAAACTCTGGGGATATGGTGCCAGATAGACCCATCCTCTGAAAATTAACAACAGTGATGTTCCCATTACTACACGTAATCCCAAGCCAATCAACACAAGGATCATTGCCCTTCCATTCCTTAGCAAACCTTTGGGGATATCCCATAAGTTTAACAATGGAAAGAAGAATATTCACCCGAGGATCACAATGCCCAGGAGTCGGCAAGCAAAAGCCATTCGAGTCCTTACTCATATCCACTTCAACCCCTGGATTGAACACTGGCACAGGCCCTTGAAGTAAGTTATTAGTCAAATTTACAACTTTCAATGATTTAAGACTCATCAATGACGAAGGAACAGGGCCGGTAAACGAATTATCCCTCAAACTCAGGGTCTCCAAATTCTTCAAGCCTGAAAAGTCTGGTAATGGACCCGACAATGCATTTGAATGCAGCCAAACCTCCCTCAAGGAAGTCATATTCTGCATAAAATCTATGGTTCCATTAAGTTTACCCGTCTGCCCATTAACCCACAAAGTCCCAATCGGCAAACTAGAAAAGCTCGCGGGAAACCCACCCTCGAGGTTATTGAAGGACAAATGCAAAAGAACCAAACCAGGAAAGACATCTGCATTAAGAAAATCTGGTAGTTTGCCTGTGATATTAGCCGAGTTGGCCGAGAAGTTCTGAAGGGACGAAGCATTTCGAAGACTTTCAGGTATCTCCCATTGCTCAAATGGGTTGTTGTCGATCTCCACGGATTCAAGCTGAGACATGCCAGCAAAAAAATCGCTAGGGATCGAATTAAATTGGTTGTTACTAAGCATAAGCACTTGCAAAGAACCCAACCCCTTTAAGCTAGGAAGAGGACCCGAAATGTTATTATACTGAAGCTCCAAGCGCTGTAACTCGGTGAGATCTCCAAGACTGGGAGGAAGAGTACCTTGAAGACCTAGACGTCCGATTTGGATCCGCGTGACCCGACTTTGATCGCAGACAACATGGTTCCATTTGCAGGGGTCCGAATCAGACCATCCAATAGTATCAGGGACGTTGAGACTCTTCTTAAGAGTTTCCATTGCAGCAGCATCTGGGCTAGGGTTTGCTTGAGACTCAACGAAGACGAAGACTGAAAATAATCCAGAAAGGAAAATGAGTAAAGGCTCAAACTTTAAGTGGGTTTTTTTCCTCATATTCGTTCTCCTGGAACAAAGAGAGAAAGCGAAGGAAATGACGAGAGGGAAGCAGGAGGGAAGAAGTGCAAATGGCGGTTTAAGGGGAGAGCTGGATTCCAGAGCAGAGAGTGATGAGAAAGCGAGAAAGGAGAAGAAGGAACAGAAATGCACATGGAGGTGGGGCCCGCATATCGGAAACCCCGGGTTGTCATGACAATAATGTTGGGATGCTGGAGATTGAGATAGGAAGAGGAGTGGGTATGCTTTTGGTCTGTGGGGTCCACAGTGGGCCACGGTCCTTTTTATTTTGGTCTTTTGAATCTGTTAAACTTTGATCATGATTTGAGTAAAATCAATCTAATCTTTCTTGGCTGGAAAGGGACGCCCAACAATGCGCTGGAAGATGCTATACCTACATCCCCGGGAATGAAAAATGTGAAAAGATTTTTTTTAGCAGTTTTTCCGATGCTACCAAAGTGAATAGAATAGTTTCTTTAAAAGAAAAATCAGATTAATACAAATTTTAGTTTTTTAAATTTATTGTTCTTTTGGTTTGGTTCCTTAAATTTTAAGTCATAGATTTTCATCCTTCAATTTTTATTTTATTTAAAATATTAATCACTATAATTTAATAAGAACTTAAACCATTTCACTCATTGATAGAAAAAAACTTATAATTTAAAATTTGAGAGGCCAATAATTATATTAACCGAAAAAAATCCCTTAATCATTTTTAAATTATACTCTTCTATACTTAATATAACACTTATTTCATAGTGCAAATTACCATACAAAATGAGTTTTATATTTAAGATTAAGGAGTATAAAAATATATTTCTAATTTACTTTATATTTTGAAATTTAATTTTGTTATATATTTAATTCAATAAAATAATTTTAGTTTAGTTTTGTAAATTTATAATTAGGCCTCTGGTTTAGATAACTTTCCTATAATTTTAATTTAATAATTACTCATATTTTCTTATTTTGAAGTTTTAATTTACTTTTCACTTTTACCCCTTTAGATGCATATTTTTGCATTATTTATTATCTCTCTAATTCTTATTATAAGTCATTTATAAAATAAAATTTTAGTATCAAGTATAAGTCATTTGGATTTTGAAGGGTTAATAATGACTTTTTTTTTAAATTTTATCTCTATTTAATTTATTGTAAAGAGAAAAAATATAGAGATGAAAATAATTTATAAATATTAAAAAAATTATAACGGATAAGTTAAAAAAATTTATAAATTTAAAATATATTTTATGACTTAACTGTAACTTATAATGATAAATAACTTAACAATCATTTTTTGATATATGAAAAATGAGGTATAACTTAAAAGCGACTTGTAATGAAAAAAATATTTATCTTAAGCTTTGTTTGGTTGGGATTTTTTGGGGGAGGAGAGGAAAAAGGAAGGAAGGGGAGATGGGACTCATGGAAGCGTGTTTGGTTAGAAAAAATGGAAAGGAGAGAAGGGGGGAAAAATTGTCTTCCCATGCTAACTTATTGATATTCCGATCTTACCCTTCTGACTGAAAACTCCTTTTTCTCCGGCTCGTTCTCCTCAGCCGCCCTGCTCCACCCGGTTTGGCATTTTTGCTTCGCATCTCCTCCTCCAGCCGCCGCCGCCGGCACCTGCTCCTCCAGCAGCCGCCGTCAACACCTGCTCCTCTAGCCGCCGCTGTTGCCGCCTTCTTTCAGGTAAGTGTCTGTTCTTCATCAGATTCGGTCCTTCCTGTGAGTGTTGAGAAATTATATAATCTGATTTAAAAACTTACATATGCAAAGTAGTAACTTTTGGTGTGATGAAATTATTAAATGAGGTTTCGGAGGAAGCTCTTTGCAGGAAAAGTAGTCATTTTCTATGCCCCAATTTGGTTTTTGATCAATCACATGACATTTTCGAACTGGCTGGGCAATTCTACTCCTTAAATCCAAAAGCCACCGAAAATGACTTTGCTATGGTACCATTTGTCTCAATGGTAGTCCTCTGCAAAAATTCTGCCGGATAAGAAAGAATGTTTCCCACTGTTTTCCTTCCCTCTTGCATTCGAGCATCTGTGGAATGGATCACTTCTTCTGGACTTCATGAATCACAACATGAGATTGGGATTTACTGCTCTAAGGCTTTGTTTTTATCCTCCTCTATATCTGTTCCATCTGATATTATATGGGAGGATATCTTACATGATCTTTCTTCGTTGGGGAAAGTAGGTGTTTTCTTTATTCCTTCTATGTTTCAGTCTGTTCTCATTGCGCAACCTCTATATACAGTATAAACATTTGATGTTTAATTAATGCGTTTTATGTTTTGATGAAAAAAAATCTATTATTGTTTATAATCTGTTAGTAATTGGCTATATACTTTATGGGTAATACATGCAAAGATTGTTTGCATGGTTGATTGATTTCATATTCCACGAGTTTTATTTCTAGCTGAGTGACAGGCAAGTCATTTGCTCTTTTGATATGGCAAAGAATCAGCATTTTGATTCCGTTAGCTTTATCTGGTGATCCTACTATTTATGTTGTTATTGTTGCTGTTTAAAGCAATGTATTATCATAAATTCTTCTAAACTCTGGCAGCTTAGCTGCTGAAAGCAGCAGTAGGGCCCGTTTGGAATAGTTTGTAAATAACTTTTCAATCGTGATTTACAGAATACGAAATAAGTATTTGAGAAAAATTTTGTCTCGACTTACGTAAAATATGTTAAATGATTTCAACCGTGATTGGCAAACAGGGTCTAAATTAGCTTAATAAGTGGGCTTAATAGACTTGTTGTGGTGTACATGAATGAGTCTTGGTTTCAGCTCAAAAAAAAGAAAAAAAGAATGAGTCTTGGTTTTTCAAATGCAAGATGTTTATGAATTATTTGTTCGTTGCTGTTTTCTGATAACGTTATTAATTATTTCATTATCTATATGCCCTGACTTTTAATGGGATAATTGAAAATGACTTTTTATAAATGAAAAAAAAAGAAAGTATCAAAATTTGTTTTGATAATTTGGCCAAAAAAATTATTCATTTTCATAATATTAAATATATTACCTATTAATTATGTATCATAGTTATATTTATTCGATAGTTGGCAAAAAAATTTATTCATTTTGATAATTATGAAATTGTGATTTTATATATTAAATGTTATTTATCATTATATTTTATTAAACATTTCATAAAATAAGAAACAAATATACCAACGAGCAGTTGGTCGAGCTGGTAAGTGGGTTTGCCCCTCATAAGGATGAGAACGCGTTTTCAAATCCCAGGAAACGCTCTCGTTGAGAGAGGAGACAACCACCGCTGGAAAACTGCGGCACTCCTATCTCTCGAGTCCGGATTAATCGGTTGCCAATAGGCGCCGAATTACCGGCGGTGTATAACCAAAAAAAAAAAGAAACAAATACAAAATAGGTAAAGTTGTCTATATAAAATTAAAACCTTTCCTATCCCTTCCTCTTAATTAAAACCCCTTTTGTCTCTTTCCCTCTCCTTCCCTCGTTGAAATCCCTCCGCTCGTTTTTTCTTAGTTGAACCAAACACAGCTTCGCGCTCTTTTTCTTGGTTGAACCAAATACAGCCTTCGGTTTTAGTTAATTGGGAGGTTAGTTTTAATTTTAAATAATATCATTTTACTTTGTCTCTTATTTCTATCATTTTTTTCAAATTAATTTATCTAATTAATAAATTAATATATCTATATAATCTAATGTTTAGGAAAGTTAGGTAATATTTGTTATAATTGATTAATTTACCTAATTTTTTTAATTTACTCAAATTGATTAAGTGGTTTTTATATTAAAAGAAATAGAAAAATACATTTATTCTATCTTTATTGTTTTTTATTAAAAAAAAATAACGGAATAATTTTTAACTAAATATTGTTAACAGAATAGTATAATTTATAATTCCACCCTCCATCCGACGCCTTCCGCCGTTATCTGCTTCGTTGTTCTCGGCAAGTAGTGAAGAAGGTTAAACCCTAGGGCTTTTCCACTCCCAAAATCCGGTGAGATCGATTCATTCAATCTGCCTTTGAATCTAGATTTAAATTTTTTACCGCGTCATCTGTTCCATGCGTAGATGTTTCTTGCTTTGTTTTAAAACCTTTGAATGTGGGAATATCTACAGGTTGAGTTTTTTTGTAGTTTTTGCTTGAATGGTGTTTAATTGGCTATTATGCTTCTGCCCTCTTCATTTTGATTACTAACGAGTTGTATGCTTTGGGTTTTGTTGCAATGTTAGATTTCTTGTGCATTGGCATTCTGGTTATGATTCTCTTTATATTATCATCAGTTTAGAAAATTATCAAGGTATTTGTGATGTGTGATCTTGTACATGATGTGGCTTGAGTTGTGTCAAGGTATCTGGAACAAAAATTGAAAGGGTATTATAAAAACTATGCATGTTTCAGATATTTCAGTATGCCGGCGCTGAATGAAACGCAGGTCCGCCTATGTCTACAATCTACATTGTTTATTGAGTTATGATATAAACTCATAACTCATTCCTCTTTGGTTTTATTTAGTTATGATATTTCACTTTGCTTCATGTGCATTAAATATATTTCTTTGAAATGCAGAAGTGAAGTGTTGGATCATGGCTATGCTGGGTAAGGCAAGAGAAGCAGGGTTTCGATTGATATCTTCTGTTAAGTTAAAAGGGATTCCTAGTTTGCAACAACTGCATCTGGATACATGCCTGCTTCGAACTAGCTCAGGCAGCTGGTGCATTAGAAATGATGTAACCGGTTCCCTGCTATTGTAATGGGCTTGTCTTGTTATTTCTTTCCATTCTATAGCCCTTCTTCTGACTACCGTGTTCTGATTATACTAATATCATATCTCAAATTTTTCCTGGCAATGTTTTTGGCATGCATTATATGACAAGTTGCAGATTTATATTACCATGGCTAAACCACTGCTTGCCCTAAAGTTTCCACCACTCACCCTTACATTTGGTAGATACCTCCCACAATTTTCATCTCTAGAACACCTGGTTAAGCTTTTGAAAGTCTTAGCTGATACTAAAAGTCTAAAACACGGTAAAACTGCTCATGCCCAGTTGGTTGTTAGGAATCAAAGTTCAAAAGGTAGTGACATCTCTCAGATAAATTCATTGATCAACCTATATGTCAAATGTAATCAAATACAACTCGCTCGAAAGCTATTTGATAGAATGCGCAAGAGGAATGTAGTATCTTGGAGTGCTTTAATGGCAGGATATTTGCATAAGGGGGATGAATTGGAAGTACTTGGACTTTTTAAAGCTTTGGTAACCTTGGAAAATTCATGCCCTAATGAGTATATTTTTACTACAGTTCTATCTTGTTGTTCTGATAGTGGGAGAGTTGAAGAGGGAAAGCAATGTCATGGGTATCTATTAAAGTCCGGATTGTTGTTTCATCAATATGTGAAGAATGCCCTTATTCATATGTACTCAAGGTGTTTTCACGTTGAATTAGCAATGGAGATTTTGGATGCAGTGCCTGGTTATGATATTTTTTCATACAACTCTATCTTGAATGCACTTTTAGAATCTGGTTATGCAAGGGAAGCTGAAGCAGTTTTAGCAAGGATGATGGACCAGTCTGTAGCTTGGGATAATGTCACCTATGTTACTGTGTTTGGCTTTTGTTCTCATATTAGGAATTTGCAATTAGGCTTGCAAATCCATGCCCAATTGTTGAAATCTGATCTGAAGTTTGATGTCTTTGTTAGTAGCACAATGATAGACATGTACGGTAAATGTGGAGAAGTCCGGAATGCAAGAAAAGTTTTTGATGGCTTGCAAAATCCAAATGTGGTTGCGTGGACAGCAGTCATGACAGCTTACTTGCAGAATGGCCATTTTGAGGAAACTCTGAACCTATTTAGAATTATGGATCTTAAGGACACTGCGCCAAATGAGTGTACTTTCTCAGTGTTGCTCAATGCCTGTGCAGGTCTAGCATTATTGAGCCATGGTGATACATTACATGCTCGGGTTGAGAAGGCAGGTTTTAAGAATCATTTAACTGTCACAAATGCTTTGATAAATATGTATTCCAAGACCGGCAGCATTGATTCAGCATATAATGTGTTCTCAGATATGGTGTATCAAGATACCATCACTTGGAATGCTATGATATGTGGGTACTCCCATCATGGGCTTGGTAGACAAGCTTTAAAAGTGTTTGAGGACATGATTTATTCTGGAGAACGACCAAACAGCATAACTTTTGTTGGGGTTCTTTCTGCTTGCGCACATTTAGGCCTTGTAAAAGAAGGGTTCTACTATTTGGATCATCTAATGAAAAAATTCAAAATTGAACCAGGATTGGAGCACTACACCTGTATGGTTGCACTTTTGAGCAAAGTTGGTCTTCTCAAAGAAGCTGAGAACTTCATGAAGACAACACCAGTCAAGTGGGATGTTGTTGCCTGGCGCACTTTGCTCAATGCTTGTCATGTTCATCGAAATTACGGCTTGGGAAAACGAATTGCAGCACATGTTATACAGATGGACCCTCATGATGTAGGGACATATACACTGCTATCAAACATGCATGCCAAGGCAAGGAGGTGGGATGGAGTTGCAAATATTCGAAAACTGATGAGGGACAGAAACATCAAGAAGGAACCTGGGGCCAGTTGGCTTGGGATTAGAAATGATACACACGTTTTTCTTTCAGAAGTCAGCAATCATCCAGATTCCAGTCAAATTTTTGAGAAGGTCCAACAATTGTTGGCAATGATTAAGCCATTGGGGTATGTACCAGATACTAATGTTGTACTGCATGATGTGGAAGATGAGCAGAAAGAAGGTTATCTCAGTTATCACAGTGAAAAGCTGGCCATAGCTTATGGCCTCGTGAAAATTCCTTCACCAGCACCAATCCGTGTGATAAAAAACCTTAGGATGTGTGATGATTGCCACAATGCTGTAAAACTAATTGCAAAGGTCACAAACAGGCTGATAATTGTTAGAGATGCTAACCGTTTCCATCATTTCCAAGACGGGTATTGTACTTGCACAGATCACTGGTAGCAAATTATTGATTTTTTTCAGTTTTGGTTTTCTGAGTGGAATGTGGTACATTATAGGGTATACAGGTCTCCTCCTACAAAAGTTTTATAATTGCATGATCCAAAATGAGTCACTTAGTTTCTGGGGCATTAATTGTTTTCTTTAGAAAATGCCTTTCTTGTCCATTTCTAATGATGGGTGAGAAGAGAATATGTTTTCCAAATTTATGTTACAATTAGAAGCGACTTGTATTAAACCAAAGCAGGTACTCTACGCGATATCTGAAGCGGCTTACAACCAAGAGGCTGCTGTTAATCTGGAAAAGGGACTTCTTGTTTTATTTTCCTTTCAAGTAAAATAAAGGAGACTTCTTGTTAATCAAGCATAAATAGTTAAGTGTGCGTCTCAGGCGAAAGAGATTTTATGCATAGAAAAATGCACTAGCTGGTTCGATTGGAGAATTAATGAAGAAGTCCCTAAGCTGTTTCGGTATACTTGGGTTTTTTGGGCCAAAAGCAAAACTGATTTAGGGTGTGTTTGGATGAAACCAAACCGTGGTTTGAAAAAGTGATTCTGGAGAATAGATTCTGAGAAAAATAGATTCTGGAAAGAATAAATTTTATGAAAAAGTGATTTTGAGAAGTGAGAGTGTTTGGATAGTTGTTATCAGAAGCACTTTTTATATATACAAATTACTAAAAAAAAGACATAAATTAATATGATAATTACAGAGAAAATATATTTTATGATATATTTTAATTTGAAGGAATAAAATTGTTAATAATATATTTTTATTAACATAATTAATAATACATAAGATAATATAATTAATAAATAATTAATATGTATATATATTTATAAAATATAAGATTAAATATGTTTATAAAAAAAATATGTTTATAAAAAAAATAACAAGATACATATCCTATAGGCTTTCACACTCTCCCTTTTTTCTCCAAAAGTAAAAAAATTTTGCTTTTTTCAAAACCATGGTTTTGGAGCCAAAACCATGGTTTTGGCCCAAAACCATGGTTTGGGCAAAATGGGGTGGTGTTTGGGTGACTTATCACCCAAACCATGGTTTGGGTCCCCAAACCATGGTTTGGGGTGTCACCCAAACGGTGCCTTAGTTCACTTAGAAAATGGATTTTGTCAAATACTTGATCAAAATATCAGACGAAATAATGTGGTTTGAGTCTATTATAATATAAACGCCACGCCTTGTGTTACGTCTTTTTCGCTTATATTTTTTAAGCGTTATTCTTCTTTGTTTGTTTTTTTTTAGAAAAATGACAATAAAATACCACTTGAATTTCAAAAAGACAAATAAAGCACCTGAATAAGCAAAATGACAAATAGGGTACTGGGTATCAATCTGAAATTCATATTTTCGGTCAAAAGACCCAAATGCCCTGATGAAATGCTGGAAGACCGACGCTGAAAGTGAGAGAAAGGAGAGAGGAAGACCGACGCAGTGAGAGAAAGGAGAGAGGAAGACCGATGCTGATGAAATGCGGGAAGAAGGAAAGAAGAATGTTGGAAATGCTATTATCTTACTCATTCGCATCACCATTCTGTAGAGATTGTTGATTTGGTGGGTTTTGGTTGTGGGAAAGAGGATTTGTAGTGAGAGAGGGAGTGAACCGAAGCGAAAATCAGAAAACAATAGCAAGCAATTACGTAACGTAACTGCTGTCATATGCCTGCTGGTTTTTGGTAAATCCCATTACGTGAATGGTAAATTTCACTATACATGTAGTTAATTATGAATTTTACAAATACATATTGTGATTTACAACTTTTGTAGTGAAAGTGACTACTTTGTTAATGGGTTTTGCAACCTGTTTTCAAGAGATAAACAACTTGTTTGTAAAAACTAATAAAAGTGACAACTTTTGTAGTCACGTTAAATTAACTGGTTGCAAAAGCCATTTAAGAAGTGGTCATTTTTACTATAAAAGTTGTAAATATCACTGTGTGTTTTGTAAAATTCAGCGTCAAATTTTATTGATTTTTAGAAACAACTTGCTCATCCCCTGAAAAGAGGTTGCAAAACTCATTTAAGAAGTGGTAATTTTCACTACAAAAGTTGTAAATATCACCCTATGTTTTGTAAAATTCAGCATAAAATTTTATTGGTTTTTAGAAACAAGTTGCCAATCCCTTGAAAAGAGGTTGCAAAACTCATTTAAGAAGTGGTAATTTTCACTACAAAAGTTGTAAATATCACTCTATGTTTTGTAAAATTCAGCATGGAATTTTATTGGTTTTTAGAAACAACCTGCTCATCCCTGAAAAGAGGTTGCAAAACTCATTTAAGAAGTGGTAATTTTCACTACAAAAGTTGTAAATATCACTCTATGTTTTGTAAAATTCAGCATGGAATTTTATTGGTTTTTAGAAACAAGTTGTCAATCCCTTGAAAACATGTTACAAAACCCATTGAAGAAGTGATCATTTTCACTACGAAAGTTGTAAATCTCACTATGTGTTTTGTCAAATTTAGTAGGAAATTTTATTAGTTTTTAGAAACAAGTTGTCAATCCCTTGAAAACATGTTACAAAACCCATTGAAGAAGTGATCATTTTCACTACGAAAGTTGTAAATCTCACTATGTGTTTTGTCAAATTTAGTAGGAAATTTTATTAGTTTTTAGAAACAATCCCTTGAAAACAAGTTACAAAACCCATTCAATAAGTGGTCATTTTTACTACGGAAGTTGTAAATCCCACTATACGTTTTGTCAAATTTAACGTGAAATTTTATTAGTTTTACAAACAAGTTGTTTATCTCCTGAAAACATGTTGCAAAACCCATTAACAAAGTAGTCACTTTCACTACAAAAGTTGTAAAT